CCCGCCGGGCTGGGCGGGGGGCCCGCTCCCAGGCATGCCCTGCAAGCCAGGCGCTGACGCAGCTAAGGTGTACGGAGGCTTCCAGCTGCTGCCGGCCTCGGATGGGCAGTTCGCCTTCCTCATCCCGAGTACTGCCTTTGGGCCTGGTGGTGCCGTGCTGCCCCTGTACGGTGGCCCGCCGACAGCTGCCACTGCTGCCTCACCGCCTGGCCCGCCACCCGGTACAGCCGACTCGGTCTGGAGACCGTGGTGAGGGTGGCGGGCACTGGACTGGACTGAGCACTGCGCCCCGTGCTGCTGGCACGGCTGTACATAGATTATATGTTCATATTGGATTGTGCCTTTGTACCATAGCACTCCCTTGACAGCATTTCGTGTTTTACACGAGATCTTTTTTCTTCCCCTTCCTGGCCTTCCTTATGTGACACCAAAGATCTTTTTTTTTTTTTGAATGCTCTTAAAATAAAAGCATCTCTTCCATTTTGGAAGGTCTTTGGAGATAAGTTGGAGTGCTGGTGTGTGTGTGCGCGTAGGAGGGAGTCCAGTTCCTGGCTTGCTCCCGGACAGCTGTGGATTGTATTATTTTGCCCCTGCAGCTCCAGGACTGCCTTATCTTGCTCTCTAGGCTGGTGCTGCTGCTCAGACCCTCTCTTCCTATTTTCTCATGTGAAATCAGCTGGCCCCTTTTCCTGCCCCTTGGAGATGTAGCTACTGCTTCCTTGAGAGCAGTTAAAGTGATCGGAATTCTTAAAAAGAGCTTGTTTGCAGAGCTCATGAATGCTGTGAGGGAAGGCATCTCTGCTCTGTTCCTGGCTCCTTGGGCTCACCCTCCTCAGGCTGACTGGAGTAGCCCAGGTAAAGTGAAATGGATTCAACACGGAGCCTAACGTCCCAGCTCCAAGTTTAAGCTGCCTGTGTGAGCCTCCTGCCCTGGAAGCAGAGGGGCCCATTTCCAGGCCACGGTGTAAATTGCAAATGACTTCGGTCAGTTGATTTACAGAAAAGTGCCAGCCAGCTTCTCGTGTTACAGAAATACCGGCTCTCTGCAGGACAAACCTGACGTGAGTGCTCTGTCTCCTGGCTGACAGGCTGCAGCAAGCACTTGCACAGTGCTGGGTACCACCTCCACCTGGACTTAAAAGCATGGAGCCATTCTTAGCCTAGCACACAAGCCAGGCTGTGCGTGGTGATTAATGCTCTGCATGTGTTTTTGATACAGTTGGGCATTTCCTCTGCTTTAACATGGAAAACATGTGTCTGGGGGAGTAATGTAGGGCTGTGTGGACTATCTCCCCTTATAACTGCAAGCAGCAACTGACCCCGTCGGCTTGGTCATGCCCCATTTCCAGGCAAGATGCTAGCACTAGATAGAGGCAAGCAGTAGTCTCGGGTTTCAGCTCACATCGTCCTCTTTAACAAGTCCTAACTCAAAGTAGACAGCTTTAAACTGCTGGAATCCATTGGGAGTTCCTTCCAAATCCCACCACAAAAGCTTGTTGGATTTTGTCTGGATCAGCCAGGTGCTTGAGTGTATCCAGGTGTTGGGGAATTGAAAGCTGTGGAAAGTGTGAGACCAGACAATCAAACCTGCTGGGGTTTGAGTGCTCCCTAACTTTCCCCCTTCTCCCTGTATGCAAACTCATGTCAGCCTCCTATTTGGAAAATGCTTCTTGGGGTGGCCTTTTTGGGGGGGAGGGGGAGAGAGAGGTGGATGTATCTAGGGATCCAGCTCTACGGGGCTCCCTAATGATGATGAAGGCAGTGATTGTTCCCTTTTAGAAGAGCCTGCAGAGGAAGGTCTCAGTCTCCTGAGCTCTTTCTAGCTGTGGGGCTGCGATAGTCCTGGTGATGCAGATCTCCCCTCTTTGTTGGCCTCTTAATGCCTTTGCTAGCCTGTTTGTTCTGCCACCCCACGGTGGCATCTAGCACTAAGGCTTTGTGTGCCAGGCTTGGGAATATTAGTTTTGTTGTCTCGAGACAGATGCGTAGGTGGATGAGCTAAGTCTGCATTCCCTTCTGTCAGCTGTAGCGTCACCTCTCTGTGCTGCCTTATGCTAGGGGTAATGAGGGTGGGACTGAGCCCACCTTATTTTTAGAAAAAGGTTTGCAGGACCTGTGTCTGGGAATCACATCGCACCAGCTCCTGCTTCTCGACAGCTTGCCTGGAACTGATGCAAACCCAGTAACATATCACCTGTAAGAACTGAGGCTGTTTCAACTTACCGGAATCCTGTTTTTCTGTTGAACCAGTTGGTTTGGAAAGCATATTAAAAAAAGACTTTTTGGTAAGCTAATAGGGAACATATACAGATCTAGGAGTGAAAGACAAGACAAACCTATTTGCTAATGAAGTTTGAGTAGTCTAGTATAAAGCAGATACACTGTGCTTGGACCAGTTTCTCCAAAGCTTTCTGGGTTTATTCTATCCTGCAGCGTGTCAACATGAGAAATCTACCTGAGTTTGTGAGATTAGAGGGGATCAGAGCTATTCCCAGGAGCTGTGCTCTTGATGGCAGTTCACTTAGACCATGACTGAATTTGGATGACGAATGTAGGCTATGGGTCTACAGAGCATTTTGTGCAGAAATTGCCCTTTAGGTACAGCAAGTGCATTTAGACTTGATCAAGCCAATGCCACAGGATGACACTGATTGCCAGGAAGGAATCAGGGAGTGCCTGATGCAGGCACAAGGTGCCTGGGAAGGGAAGGCGTGGGGCTAAGCTGCTGGATTGCAGCCTCTCCTTTTTGAATGAAAAAATAGGATTTCCTTTACAGCGGTCTCTGGAGTGGCTGTGGACCCTCGTGGGCAGCCGGTGAGGGAGGAGGCGGGAGGTGCCTGACAGTCGGATGTGGGGAGGGAGGCAGTGCTGGAAACCTCCTAGCAAAAGCCTCTTTTGCAAATGCCAAGTGGAGCGGCCAAGAAGCACCGAGTGAAAAACCCACAGAACAAAGCCATGCCGCGCACAGCTGGCCAGACTCTCATGTGGTGACCAGACCTTGGCCTGCCCTTCCCGGTGATGTGACCCCACGTGGGGCTGCGTGCTCACGGGTGAGTGCGGAACGGGTTGGAACACAGGCTGGGCTCCCCGGTTGCGCCCTGGGCGTGAGGGCGTGGGTCACAGCTGCCCCATAGCGTGTGATGGGTCCTGGGGTGGCGTGGGGAGTGCCTCTGCACACACCGCTGCAGAGAGCGGCTCCAGGAGGGGCTGGAGCACACTTAAGCAGTTTGCTGGAATCTGGTACATGCATTTGCAGCCCAGAGATTGCGCTGGCTCTGGCAGGGATGCGTTAGCAGTGTTGAGCCAGGGTGAATGGCTCAGAGGGAGGTAGAGGTGCTCCATCTTTCCCTGCCGCACCAAAGCACGCCCTCGCGAAGCTGTGCACCGAAGCCCTGCAGCGCACCTGTATGCAGAACCACAAAGTGTCTGGGTCTGCAGGGAACAGCCTACCCGATTGCCCTTTGCCTACATCCGCGACGCGGGGGGGGCCGGAGCGTCTCTAAACGGTGTGTCATGCACCTCGGAGCGTGCTGATCCATGACCTGCCGCAGGATTTATTTCCCCTCTTCGTCCCTTGCATCTCAGCAGCTCGGTTCCATCGGACTCTGCCGCCATCCCGGGAAACCTGTCATTAAAGTCAATTAACTTTTCCCACACTCCTTGCGAGCAGCGCAAACCCCTCCTTGCTTCCTCCTTGGCTCTTAAGTGCTACCATATGGCACGGGCCCCGGCGCTCCCCCTGCCTCTGTGCTGCCTTTGATTCCCGTCAGACAGCCAGAGCTTTATGATTTAAGCCGAGCGAGCCCTCGTACCAAGCCCTGGGCTGCTCTGCGGCCAAGGTGGTTTTTTTAGCAGGCAAGGCTGTTTTCTGGCAGGAAATGAATAGCTCCCAGATGAGCTCAGGAACCTGAGAGGTCGTGAGAAAGGAGCGAACCCCTTGCGCGGTGGCAGGCTGCCAGGCAGCGCGGGGAACGCGCGAGAGCGCGCGCCTC